GGCGGTGTGTCTCTTTTTTTGGGGTGGGGGTGTCTAAGAAAGCGTGGCTGTCTGTGGAGGGGGGCTATGTCTCTTCTTTGGGGGGTCCTGAGGGGTGTGGGTCTGTCTCTGTGGAGGTTGTTGGGGTCTGGGGGGCTGTCTCTGTTTAGGGGGGCTGTCTGGAGATGAGCCTCCATTGAGGTGTCCCTAAGTAGGGTGTCTCTTTTTGCAGGGTGCTGTGGAAGTCATCCCTGTAGGGGGAGGCTGTCTGTGGTGGGTGTTGGACCCCCCTGGGAGGGTGTCTCTGTGTGGGGGTGTTTGTCTAAGGGGTGTTGGGGATGGGTCTTTGGGGGGGGAAGGTTGTTCCCTTCGTGCCTGTAGTTCAGGGTAGGGTTTCCTTGTCAGCCAGAGCAGGTTGAAAACCCATTTAATGACCAGGACTGCTCTTGCTGCCTCTGTCATAGGTTATGCGGCTTTTCTAAAGCACCTGCAATGGGTTCTGTGCTTTCCCTCTCTGTTAATAACGCTGCCTCCAGGCAGAGGAAGAAGGCTGAGGATGACGATGATGACTTACTTGATAGCCGAGACCGTGTGGAAGACATTGCCAAGTTTCCATATGTTGAATTCACAGGTCAGGACAGCATCACCTGTCCCACTTGCCAAGGCACTGGCTGCATTCCCACAGGTGACTGCTCCTCTCAGGCTTAAATACAAAAAGAAAATGTCGCTTATTTACGTGAGCGACCTTGCATGCACATGGAATTGGTTAACGTGTTCCTTTTGCTTTCCAGAGCAGGTAAATGAGTTGGTGGCTCTGATACCCTACAGTGACCAACGGCTTCGTCCACAGAGAACGTAAGTGTGGAGTAAGAGAGTAATGACATCTTTGCAAAGAGCAAACAGGGCTCTTTTGTCGTTTACTGCCGCAACTAAACGCTTCACCCAGTCTGCAGCCTCTCCTTCATCTAGTGGTTTGTTTTCATGCAAGTATGCCAACAAATACAATTTAAAGTGTAACTTTAAATAGTTCCTGTGAAATCCCGCTGTGGGGTGAACGTGGAAACAATGATCCCACTCACACTCTTCATCCCCATGCCCTTTACTGAAGCTTTTAGAAAGAAACTGCCTTACCAACAGCAAAAATACTAGATTTTGAAAACACTATGGGGGCAAAAATGATTCTTGGGTACTCATTACTAAAAACCAAACTGTTTAAAGGGTGACAGTTCTGAGCAATTTCAGATAGCGAAAACGTTAGAGCAGCACTTCTGTGCCTCTTCCAGGGAAGAACAAACACGTGTTGTTTGCTGGCTAGGTTGGGTTTCAGATACAAGGTCTCTTGCAGCTGCAGATGCTGTGTTAGGGCAGAGGAGGTGACCCCTTCCCTGCCTCTTCCAGGAAGCTGTACGTCCTGCTGTCCGTGCTGCTCTGCCTGCTGATATCGGGGCTGGTGGTTTTCTTCCTGTTCCCACACTCTGTCCTGGTGGATGACGACGGTATTAAAGTGGTTCAGGTTTGGTTTGACAAGAAGAACTCCGTTGTCATTCTTGCCATCACGGTAAAGTTTTATTCCTGAGGGAATAAATTGTGTGCTGAACTGCCAGGAAGGTCACTGCTACTCACGTCTCCCTCCTCTCTCCATGCAGGCCACCTTGCGGATCAGGAACTCCAACTTCTACTCGGTGACGGTGACCAGCCTGACTAGCAAGGTGCAGTACATGAACACTGTGGTGGGAACGCAGCAGATCACCAACGTCTCCAGCATCCAGCCCCTGAGCGACAAATTGGTATTTGTCTTTCATTGCACTCATAAGCATCACCAAATCAAATACGAAACCTGTGCGCTACTGCGAGTTAACTTGATAATAGTCTGTCTATACCTTAAAGCTTTGCTTGGCAAAATAGCCTGATGGCTAGAGTAGCCTGTGCTTTATGCACACCAGTTGAAAGGCAACAGCAAGTAGGAAAGACTCCGAAAGGGGTGGATTTAAGTGAGTACTCAAGCTGCATGTGAATGTATTTTTCTTTTATCTTTTACAGGTGAATTTCACTGTGAAGGTGGAGCTGGGTGGACCCTTCTCCTATGTGTAGTAAGGATTTACTACTCTTGTAGATAGCTGGGGAAGAGGGCGGGTTTAAGCTGCTTTAGTTAGAATTTGCTCTGGAAATAACTTGTTTTCTGCTAATTTCCTGGAAAGTAACTGTTTGCTGGAAATGACTTGAAAGGCCACTCTGTCAGGATGTTGTGACGTGGTTTTTGGACCGTGTCTCGAGTTGAGTTAACACCAGAGGGAAAATATCATCAGAAGATACCGAGAAACACAAATGTCTCTGTAACCCTGCTTAGCCCGTGCTGACCTACTTCTTTGTTTTGTCTCTTCCAGTTTCTTTTGCACGTTTCCCAAGGTGAAGGTACATAACATAGTGATCTTCATGAGGTAGGTGGTTGTCTGCCCAGCTCCTGACTCAAAAGGGAATTGCTGCCACAGCAAATCTAGGGTACATGAAGAAAATCCCGCTTGGCAAGCACCCCAGCCTGGTTCACTGTGTCAGCTTTTAATCCAGGCCAGTTGACACAATTGGCTGAAATGTAAGATAGAAAGGAGAAGACACCAGATTGCTCCACGCTGAGCTTTAACGTGAGGGGTGGTGTGCTCCAGAGGCTGCGCTCGCCAGCTCTGCGTATTCCTGCCCGCTGCAGTGAGCCATCTTGAGCAAAAATCTGAGAGGATCTGCAGCTTTCGAGGGGGAAGAGGAGTTATGTGATGAGTGTAAAACCTGCTGGGTTTTTTATTTTGGTAGAGGGATGGCTGGAGCTGCTCCTGTCCCCACCAAGCTGCTCTTTCCCCCCCCCCCTCCCAGGACATCGGTGAAGCTCTTGTACATCGGGCACGTGACGCAGAGCGCTTTGGAAACGTACCACTACGTGGACTGCAGTACCAACTCCACGGCTGCCCAGGACCCCCTGCCTCTGCTGTCCCCCTCGATGTGAGGCGCAGCCAAAGCGAAGAGGATTTCCCTGAGGATGCAGATGGATTTCTGGAATGGACCAGGAACTTTCAAATGGAAGTGGAGGGATCGCAAGTGACTTTGGTGGGAGATGTTTGAAAGCTCTATGTCCCTTTTGCGCTTTTCCACGTGCAGCTGGGCTGCACTGCTGGCCTGTCCACGAAACCCGCTTGGGGTGTTGCGCGTGTGCGAGCACACAGGTCCCTTCCCAAAGTCAAGGTCCTGCCTTCCTCTTCGGTTCTGAAGAACTAGTTTTTGGTAGGGAAACTGGACTCTCAAACTTCATGCTTTGGGGTCTGAAGATCCCAAAGATTTAGAGTTGACTTTTGGAGCTGTTTTGAAGCTTAGCACTGTGTCAGGTCCTTTCGGGGTAAATTAATTTGTTCTGTGCAATTAATTCATTCCACTTTTGTTCAATGGCAGCGTGTCACTGACTTGTTTCAAAGCAAGGGCTTGATAAAAAGGGATAGTTCTTTGTGAGGAATGCACAGATAAGGCTTCCACCTCTGAAATTTGCACTAGAAGGAGGCAGAGGAATTGAAACCTTCAAAACACGCTTTCTCTGTTGTGCAGATTTTGTTTGCTGGCAGCTGAGGCCACCTACAGCAAACCGATACCAAAACACCGCTGTCTTAATGAAGACAGCCTCAGTAAGTGCGGTGCTGCTGGGGACGTGCGAAGGGTCTGCGTGAATTAGACCTTCCTCCTCCTCCACTCACGGCTCCGAACCTTTTTCTCCCCGCGTTCGGCAGCTGCGGGGTCTCTGGGGTGTGAAACCACGGAACTTGTAGCTCAGTGTTGCTTTGTACTTGTGCCTGCCGCAAGCGAGTGCGGATTTAAACTGATTTTGTGGGAGTTTGGTGTTTCAAAGGCTTACTATCCGTCGGGAACAGCCGGCTCCTAGGAGGTATCAACTGCATTCTTAAAGCAAATAAATGTGAAAGCTCAGCCCGCCGCAGTTCTCGCTGTTTGCAGCGTGGAGGATTTCATTCTGCTTCTGCCCTTTGTAGTTTTTCTGGAACTCGATCGCTACAGCTGCCCTCGTTTCTTCTCTGCCTGCACCTACACCTTTCTCCGGCTGTTGGATGCGAGGTTATGTGAGTGTGTGTGTGTGGAAACAAAGCGCAGGTAAAGGCTGCGAGGGAAATGGATCATGGTGGTTTTCAATGAAGGATACTTTATTTTGTGCGAGTGTGAAATAAAACCTTGCTTTTTTTTAAAAAGTGGCGTTTCTGCCCGGTGGGGTTTCTAGAACTGAATTCTACTTATTAAAGCTGAGTTGTACGTTACTGTGCAGCGTCCTTAGCGCTCTGCCTTGTGATTGGTATCCTGTCACCTTTTGCCCAGAAGTACCTGTTCTCTTGCTGGTGATTTTTAGGGAACGGGGGGCCAAGAAACTCAATCAGGGAGTGGCGAAGCACCTCCATTCCCGCCTGGGACCAGTGATTCCAGTGGCTGTCATGCTGCGCAGTCTCTGGTGATCTCGGTCACAAGCTTATCACGCGACTCTTGTAAACGCACCGATTTATGATGAGTTGAACTTTCCTTTTTTAAGGAAGATGAGGAAATCACAAACTTTGCTCTCTATCCATCTCGTTTCCTGAGCTTCCTCCCTCTCGGCGGTGCTCAGTCCTGGCTGATTTGGTTTCTCCTTGTGGGAGACATTACCTCTCCCCAACATTACCTCTTCCCACCCGTGTTGTCATCTTTGGCCGCAGCCCCAGAGATAACCCATGCTCTCCTGCTCCTCATGGCCAGGTCTTAAAAGCAGCCTGCTGTGGGGGGGTTTGCTTTTAACTGGGTGATTTTGGGGGGGTCTCACTAGGTGCCTGCAGCAGGAACCCTAAACCTGCTGCTTGGCTGAACAGGAGAACAGCTTTGCCCCAAATTAGTTGTGTGACAGCCGGCAGCAGTGAGCCAGAGCATTAATAATTAGGGGTGCCCTCTGGGTCATGTGGCCAAAGCACTTGGCCTTTTAAAGGGCATTTTATTTCGAAAATCCTTCCTAATCCTCCAATCCTTTTTAATGATTTTCTTCTGCCAATGTTTTTTAAAGATCCCAGCCCTGCAGAGGCTGCCTCAGGTGCTTTAGCAGGAGTGGTTGCTGCTGCACTGCCAGCTGTGAGTGTTTAAAATTGAGATGAGGGCCCCAAAGTAGCATTTTTATAAAGGGTTGGTTGTTTTTTTTTTTTTTTTAATCCTTTAAGGTCGTAATTTCTCTTAATGCAAAACTGCAGTGCCCATGCTATCAACAGATGCAAAAAGCTGAGGTGTTAACAAAAGCACTGTCATGAAACTCATAAACTCCCCGGTCAACAGCTGCCTGTTACGTCCCGCACGTAAAGCTCAAGCGTGTTGTAACTCTTGCGGGGTCAGTGGGCTACCTTTCTTTAAGATACTAAAAAAAAAAAAAAAAAAATTCAACTACGGAGGCTTTTCCTCTAATTAGCAAGCCTGTTTAAGGGAAGAATTTACATACGTAACTTTTTATGAAACCATAAAGGCGCAGCTGCTTTACGAGACGTCAGCGTGTGTGCGCAATGGCTGCGAACTCTGCCGCCTTCAGTATTGCAAAATATATCCTGAAATTACATTTTTCCATGCACAAAATGGGACAAATTCTGTGGTGAGGATGGGAGGAGGGTTAGGGGGCACCCCCCAGCCATGGTCGTGCAGATTTGGTCTCAGTGTTCCCCTCCTCACTGGTTTTAGTGGTTTCCTTTAACTGGTGTCCCGAGCGCTTGCCTCGACTCACCCCGGTTCTGTTTAGGGGTGCAATGGGACAAGAGACCCCTTAACAGAAACCTCGTGGCTGCTGTGTTGGCTCCTGGTGTTTCAAGATTTTTCTCTTAAAATGGTTTTCCCCTCCCTTTTTTTTTGGCTTTTTGGGGGATTTATTTGTTTTGGTTTTTTTTTTCCCCTTAGTGTGAGGTAGCCTCAACCCAGAAAAGTTAGAGATTTGACCCAAAACCTTCTTTTATCACGGTTGAGGAATGGGGAGAAAGGAGTTAAGACGCAGCAAACACCTCCGGAGAGCGACAAAAACAAAACCCAGATCGACTTGTACTTTTCACCAAAAGTTTTTTTTTTTTTTATATCAACTGATGTTAAAAAATACAGACTTGTTTTACAAGAATAGCACCATTTTTTTTTTTTTTCTCGTATTATACATTAGCACTCCTGCTGGTGATACACAGGGGGAGGGATGGGGGCGGGAGGGGATTCGTGATACCTGGATTTGCGAGATCCCTTTTGCAGGGAAGGGCCATCGTACCTGCCAGTTAGATTCCCACCTCCACCTGACCTAAAAAATAGGTCTTACAGGAAGAGAATAAATAAATAAGACCGTGGGGTTTTTTTTTTATTTCGCAGCCTGCCCAGACGGCGTTGGAAAGAGCCGGTGGTCCCCAACGGAAGGGCGTGAATCGCGGGGTCGTTGCAGCCATTCAGTGCAGAAGTCGTACGAACGATTGGAAAGTACTCAGGTCCTTGGGGTGGGTTTGGGTTTTTAGTTTTCTTTTACGGTATTGGGCTGGATTTAAAAAAAAAAAACCAAAACAACAAAACAACAAACAACAACAACAAACAAACACACAAATAAAACAATTCTTTTTACAAGAAGCAGACTGGGCCAATATCCACGCCAAACTCCTGATCGGCTCCACCAATGTCCATAGGTGCAATATCTACAATGGGCAGGCGCGAGGTCTTCTGCGATCGGTACTCAATGACTGTCTTGCCCCATTTGCCAGTGTGTTTCTGGGGAGAAGACAAGGAGGATGGATGTTATTAGATGCTCTAGAACCCTCTAAACCAACAGCAACCTCATGGGTTGAACCGCAGCTCATCGTCTACGTCTTTCTCTCGCAGGCGCCCATGGACTTACCGTGCAACTGTCCTCCAAGACGCTGTACGTGAACCTGCTGTTGCCCTCGGCTCTGATCTCCACGTCGTTGGATCCCTGGATGAGGATGGCTTTCTTCAGGTTGCCCGTCTCCTCGTCCATGTAGGCGATGCTGTTCTTGCAGTGGTAAGTGACATTCTGGGAGCCTTCGGTGGACAGGAGGCGGAGGAAGGTCATCTGGATGTTAGCGGTGTTGGGAGCCAGGTCTTCATCGCCATAGCTAAACTGGAGGGAAGAGGCGAGACATTAAACCCTGCGGGTGTCGCAACAACCCTATTTTCAGCCACCTTTTGAGGGGACTTCCATACTTTATGTTCCTAGATGGCTGCAAAAATCAAAGCCCAACTGACCAACTCCAAGCTTTCAATATAGTCCTCTAGGACAGCCAGTCCCTTGTATAACGTCCATCAACGTAACCCCAAGGAAGGACATCCCAACCCTCCAACCAGACACCCGACGCCTTCCCCTGCTCAACCTCCCTTCCCGCTCTCGGTGTGCAGCACCAGCACAGGGGGACGCTTACGTGGAAACCGCCGTTAATGGTCTCTGCGAACCAGACGTGCTTCTTGTCTTTGGTCTTGCTGGTCCACCAGTTCTTCTTGGGGATGCTGCTGGGGTTGGGGTAGACACAGGTCTCGCCCGTCTCCATGTTGCAGAAAACTTTGATGGCGTCCAAGGTGCAGCCCTGGTTCGGGTCGATCCAGTAGTCTCCTGCAGCAGGGAGGACAAATAGTTTGTGAACACGAGGTTTTGGAGGTCAGAGCAAAGAGCATTGTGGACCTCGCTGTCCTCTTGGGGCTGAGGGAGAGGGACAGGAGGGGAGGAGGAAGCGATGAAGGCTCTCAGCTTGCTCTTTCCGCTCCTCCACTCGGGATGGCAAAGCTTGATGTCACGGCAGGTCCTGGCCGGGTTCTTCTTGGAGCCCTCGGGGCTGCGGATGCTCTCAATCTGGTTGTTGAGGGATTTGAGCGTGGCGTCCACCTCGACGTCGTGCTGTCGCAGGCTGCTGGCGGCCTCGTCCGCTCGCATGTAGCGGATGGGGTCGGGACCCTTCTCCACTTGACCCAGGCCAGCGAAAGCCGACATGTCGATGCCGGTGCCGGGGGGGCCGGGAGGACCGGGGGGACCTGGGTTTCCGGGAGGACCCTATGGGAGGAAGAAGATGCAATCCTGATGGGCTGCTCTGCGAGCTGGACCCCCCCTTCCCCACCACCACCGCCGGCTTTTTTACTCACCGCAGGACCTGGTTCGCCGCTTCGTCCGCGGGGGCCGGGAGGACCGATGGGGCCGGGCATGCCGTTGGAGCCGTCTTTGCCAGAGGGGCCGACGGGGCCGGGGGGACCCTAGGAGAGAGCCCCGAAGCCGGGGAGGGTCAGGTTGGTGAAAGAAGGCAGGGAAGGTGCTGGGGACCCATTAGCTCCTGCTGTTAAGGGCA